TAAGTATTTAATTTATGATAATATATCCTAATCGGATTCAACGTGTTCAAATTAAAACTGCTAAAATGGTTTAAATGCATATATTTATTTAGTAAATTTGCATTAATATATTTTGATAGATCTTTTTAAAAAAAAAAAAAAAAAACAACAGAATAATTAATTGATTTGATGACAGTAAAATAAAATAAAAACTATGAGATTGCTCTGCTGTATTGTCTATTTCAAATACACTTTGTTATTAAGTAATTTGCTGTAATAAAATTTCAATTTTGAATTTTATGATAAATCACTGAATTTTAAAATTGATTCTATATCAACTTCTAAACGTATGATATCTTATATTTTATTTTTTGACAAGTGATACAATTTATTTTCCAAAAAATTCACATACATTATAATATAATATATCACATACAAAAATATAAATGATATATTATTGATATTTACTTGTTAATTATATAAATCAATATGAACATAAGTACTTTTGTTTGATTTTATAGGATAGTGGTATCAAAGTTTGAAATAAGTATAAATATTTTGAACAATATATTGTGTATGTTAAATAATAATTAAAACTATTCCCACCCACATAACACTGTAATATTTATTTAATTTAAAATAAAAATTTAAATTTAAGAGTAAAAAAAAAAATAGTGGAATGTTTCAAGTATCTACATTAAATGATTTTTGAGCGATAACAAAATATTAAAAATAGTTTGAAGATTAATCGTTATTATTCATTGAATACCCGATTTCGTATACATTTAGCTCATGAACGTACGTATATAAGTTAATATTGTTATTTTTAAATTCCTGTAAATAATTTATTTATATGAGAAAAATTGTATTCAAATTTCAAACTTTAGTATTAACAAAAAAAAATATTATTAAATATATATAAACAACGAAATACAAACAAAAAAAAAAAAATTTTAAATATCTAAAAATTATATATAAAAATAAATAAATATTTTATAAAATTATATTATCACGTTAAAAAAGTCTTATAATAACAACTTTAAGTATTTTTGTTTTTAAAATAGCCATGGTGATTTTATTCAAAACGATTTAGAACAAAACAGGATTTTTTTCTTTAGATCTATATGTTCCTACTTGATCCAATTTTCTTCCAAAAATCAAAATAAAAGCATAAAATTGAATTATTTTTCAGCTCAAAAAAATTAAAAACAGAAACAAAATAATCAAATTTTAAAATTAATAAAAAGCCCACTATTCAAAAACTTATATATTTATCGCTTCACTCAGTATTTAAATTATAGTTTAATTTCATTTTATAAGTTAAGTGCATTATTTGGAAGAGTGTCAAAATACAATGTTTTAATGTTTTACAAATTCTAAGAATAATAAATAGTTTGCTACTATGTAATTCATACATAATAACAATTGGAAAAGTTTTAATTACTTTAATAATTTAATAATAGTGATATAATACAGTTAAAGTAGAACGTGACAAATATCAAAAATTTAAATAAATATAGAATAATTTATATTTTAAACATTTTATCTTGAGAAATTTAATTTAATTCATCATTTTTAATTTCATATTTTTAAATAATATATTGTGTGTATCGGTTATAAAATTAATATTTCTTGAGTTTACAATCACTTTTTATTTATTTATTGTTTTTTGCTTATATAAAGCAACACTAAAATAAGGAAGAACACGATTTGTAACTTTGTGAACTTTCTGTGTATAATATATTTAGAACACTGAGACATTTGAAACCATGACATACCTATTTTAAATGTATATTATAATTCACTGTCAAAACAAATACCTTTGGTAACCAAAAACTTTGGATTCGTGAAATGTTCAGAATTCAAATAATTGATGGCATTAATCTATTATATCATGCTTAAGTGTTATTACAATATGAGAATTACAAAAATAAGTTATTCGTTCGTTAATTAAAGTTATGTGAAAACTTTAGTTTTGGCTTTGTTAAAATGTTTACAGTTGAATTTATGAATAAAGAATTGTAATTTAATTTAATTTATTTCGTGTTAAATTTAAAAAGAAATTGTAAGTTTTTCTGTTGTGTAGGTTTCGAGTGCACAGGGATTGGAGTAAGTCACTGTTATAATAGCTGTGTTAAATTTGAATTAAATGATAAACAATTGTATACAAAAAACGGTTCTGAGATTTGACTCAGTCTCAACACTATGGTATAGTGATCAAATAATATTATTACTAATAATTAATTTTTCTTATTTTTTGTACAGTTTCTTGTATGGCTGCACGAAAATTAAAAAAATACGCTCAGTTGAATAAATGACTTTATTTTTATTTTAAACAATGTAAAAGGAACAAATTAAGTTGTCATAAATTCGCGAGGGTCAGACTGATGTCTTACTGGACAACGACTGCCTTGTCTGGCCGAAAAGCCTGGACACTGCTGCGCGTATCGTATTAAAATTTTTTGTGTTCAGAAAATTAGGAATACGTAATATCCTGTTCTCTTGATACTATTCAAACGTTGTTCAAATATTATAATATCTTTTGAACATCTAAAAAAAAAACATAATATAGATTCGTAGACACATAATATTATACGTTTGTATTAGTAGTGGTTTAAAACAACAGTATGCTGAACTAATTATTATTAAAAAACAGTTAATAATAAAAAAAATACATTAATATTATATCGTTTATTGCCTTAATGTTATAGGTACTTGATATGTTATGTATTATTGTTATTTACTTACACTCAATATCGATGTATCATAATAATATATGTTAAAAGATTAAATGATATAAAAAACTTGAAAATTGTTTGAATATTTTGAAATTAGCACTGTGTATATAACAAGAATATATACGTATATAATGGCTGAAAAGTTTTTATCTGATAGGATTAATATCTTTTGAATTACATCATAATGATTAAAATTATTAGTGGAGAAATCATAATTTTTTATTTTAATATCTATTTAACATTTTTTTTTAAATAATTCGTCTTCCAATGACCTGAATTAAATATCAGTCAATTTCATTGGTCTAACAAAATGTCTTACTTAAGTTATATATTCTTACAATTTAAATTTATAAACCTTTATTCGTCTCATAGTGAATACTCTTTAATTCATTAATAACTACAAACTATACTATGATATGTACACACTATCTACACTATCTCATCACATTAATATGAATAATTTCATAAAAACACCATCTAATTTCAGATATTACTTCTAAGACATGTTTTGATGCAACGTTTTACACCATATACAAATAAATTGAGAAGTATTTTTGGTTGCTTAAAACTATCTATTTTGCATAACTCTGGAAAATTTCAACTAAAACAAACTCTTGATAAGTAACTATGAAAATGTTACCGTTTCAAAGGTAATTCCAGAAAAAAATAAAAGGTATAAAATCATTGTAAAACAATTTTATTAATGTATTGCATATTATTCATCACTCAATTCAGAATATAAATTATCAGTGATGCAATTAATAAACTTTACTAAAACTTTCAAGTCATAATGGGTTAATGCTGGTATCTCATCAAATATAATTGATATAAATTTACAGAAATATCGTTTATTTTTACAGATACACAAAACAGAGGAAGCACGTTCATTCTGATCACACGTATACATTTTGAGGATATAGGGTCACAGATCATTTGTATGTGATTTGTAAGCAAAATCATAGCAATAATAATCTTCAGATTGAACCTGTGCTGTAAGATTTCTACCATTTTAATTTTACAATCACTCCTAAAAGAAACGTTCAGTAGAAATTTTGATAAACTATAATAGTGATATTATACTGTACCGTACCTATATATTTCGTTCGCACTACGACGTGTGTTAACTATTTTTATGTGTTTAAACGATCGTAAATTTAAGTAAAACGTTGATTATTAGTACCTACGTGTGAATATAATAATGTTTTATTTCGAAGTATACGGTAGGTATGCATAAATGTATTGATGAAACTAAAATATAGACTATTTAAACACAGTCGCACTTTATGTAAACAACAAAAACGAAAACGTAGGTATAATAATATTATTATAGAAGGTTACATTCTTCGTTACTACAACCACACACAGATTCATAATATTAACCTTTTGGTTATTTATACATTTTAAAATATATATATATATATACATATTTATACGGATGCACGACTTGTAACTATGTGTTATTACTATTATTTTATATACACAGAATGGTGTGCCATGCTTCGAAGATAAATACGATATTTTACTATCGTTATTACCGTTATTATTATTATTTTTCTCTTCTCTGGGCCACTGGGGGGAAGGGGGAGAAAAACATCCGTTCGACGCGAGATGATGTCAGGCAAAATATTATGTACGACATTAAGATAAAGCTGACGGGCAGAAGACATCATTTTAGGCTATATATATTTATATATATATATATGTGTGTGTGTGTGTGTATTATATACACAGCGATATATTTTGTTTATGGTATATACCTATAGTAATAACAATAACACGATGCTTTATGTATTATGTATAGTATGATATTGTACCAAAAAAATATATATATATATATATATATATTCTGTCACTATTTTTAATATCGCATTTATAACAAACTTGGCTGATAGTTATTCGTAAATATTCATTATGTTTTCAACTTTTTAAGATATAGTAGAATCTCGAATCGATTTTGTTTCAATATTTAATCTTGTCTGCGTGTCGCAGCTACGAACAATTTGCAAATATCTCAAATCCCTAGCGGTGACACTTAACATAAAAATAAAAAAAACCAAGATGAAATTTATGAAAAGTGTCACAAACCGTATCAGTTTTTTTTTTTACTAGGTTGTCCGTGAAAATGTACAAAACACCTAATAACAAGTACAATCTGTATCCGATTTTTTATCGAAAATTGAATAATTATGAGGAGTTATCACACTTTTTCAAAAAAAAAGAAGCTTTTCATTATAATAATAATAATAACAATAATAACTATTATAATATAAATATTATTGATTATTATAATATTAATGACTCACCCAAAACAATTGCCAAAGTTTTTGTAGCTTTTCTTTCTTTTCTTGCCGAAGACTTTTCCCGTTTCTTCCGGCTCGCTTTATTTACTTTGTATATGGTGAAGCGACTACTCCCTTCTGTGTTCGTCTTATACTCTTTTTTTGAACACCTTGAACTGTCCTCCTCGGAACCGTTCCGGAGCATCGACGACAATGAACGTTTCACCAGTGACTGTGTTACTCGACTTGACCGGTCTATCGGCTGTGGTATAGGCGTTGAGGTGGCCTCCGTTACCGTGACCGTTGTCATTAATGTTGTCGACGACGACGTGGTCATCGTAATTGGTGACGACGTTACCGATGAATCTCTGCGTTTCCCTGGTACCTAAATCAAGTGAGATCCACATATGAATTATTATTATAACAAAACTATATAGTTTGTGATTGTCCATAATTTTTGGTTACTGATTTGAACGATGAGTAAAATACAATAATAATTTAACTATTATTGTAGAACCTTTTAAATCGAACGAATTTTTTTAATCCTAGTTTGGCGAATTTATGATTCAAATATAGCTAGAGTGCCATTGTTATTTTAACATAAACAACGTGATAACAGCTGTGGGGCAATAATGATGGTGAGTTAACAATATGATAAAAGTTATGCACAGGGATTAGGGAATGCATTTTGGAACGTATTACGTTAATTTATTGTAAATGCATATTTTTATTTCAGAAATATATAAGAAAAAATTACACTAACATAACGTCACACTTTTATATGTTAAGTGTAATTAAACTTTTTAATAATTATGGGTGAAATTTGAGACAATATTTAAGCGGTTATTATGATTTTATATAGCAAATACAATAATTCGGTACAAACGATCAAACGAAATAATCATTTTGAAAATATGTCATTTGATTTTTATTCAAGAAGATTAAATATACATAATGCTTGACTTGAAAAAATGAAAAGTTCACATTTTGTATATGTCTTACGATACTAAAATGTGACATCACTCATTATGGAATTAAATTATACCATGTTTTTCAAAAATTATTTTATCATATTTTATTGAATGACTGTTTATAATTTATTTTTTTTAAATTATATTTATGTTTGGTTGTTTATTCTTCATATTATTCTCTATCACTAAATACTTTTCCATAATCTTATATCAAGTACACTTTGTAATAATATAATAGGTAAAAATAAGATTTTATGTAATTTTACCTTATCACTGATCTTGTCACTAATGGAACTGACTGTTTGGTTAGGATTCAAGACCCTTGTTACAAGATCGATATCCCGTAGTCTGGAACCCAAGTTTCCATTTGGGTCGGCAGTTAGATTTGATGGTGTGGCCAATGTTGCCACCATCCTGGAACACAAATATTTAGTTCGATATACTTCATACAACGTAGGTTAATGATTACTAATTATCTCGGTAGACATATTATGATATTACATTATATTGTTTTGAGAAAAAAAATGTAATGGTTGCAGTGATGTAACGCATACAGCGATGCAAAGTGAGAACGGTGAATAAGGACAGTTTATTAATCTAATTTATACTATTCGGCTTAAGTATTACATTATTTATCAGAGAATTATTTTTTATTATACTTCTAAAATATTCTATATAGGTAAGAAGTAATGTAGCATCGTAGCATTACATTTAAACGATTTTCATTTCTAATACCAAGTCGCAGGTGTATACGACAAAAAAATAATTTTGTACCTTACTAAATACTTTGTATTTACATATTATTTTATAGCAAAACATCGAAGACTTTCTATAAAAGAGACTCGTGGACAATTATTATTATTGTCGTACTCAAAAACATAATATTCGTTATCATTACGTGAAAAACTTTTTCAATTTTCTTGCCACGACGCGATTCAATTAAAATAAGTATTATCGTTTGATAAGACATCTAAAGTGTTCCAAAATAAAATGTTTGGCGTTGGATGTTGAAGTGACATTGAATGCGATGGACGAAAATTATTATATTAATGATCGTTGAGTATGGTCCACCAAATTGTCATCGCACAAACTCTTATAACACCGTAATTACCCGGTGAGCCCAGCGACTTATCCGGTGAGCGCTTATGCAGTCATTATTTCCAATAATAGCTTGTTTTGCCTGTGTACGCAGGCAATAATAACACTGTAGCGGTGGGTGAGTGCGTCCAACCGCGATTAAATCAAGACAAGAAGTCTCATCATGTCTCGCACATTCACAGTTCGCCGGTTATCGTCATATCCGTGAAGTTTAGTTTTAGTGTCAACCCATTTTAATGGTAGTCCGTACAACTCAAAGGATCGACGACCCTAAATTATAACTTTTAGTTTATTCGCCGCATCAGAAAATACGAATTATTATTATTATTATTATTATTCCTTTAGGGATCGACGAATTATACTCGTTAATAATAAAATGATAGCTATACAACAATTTGTTTTTTGCATGGTTGTTTGCAAAGATTCAAACAATCTTTAGTCTTAATCTCACGAGGATCGCCGTGAATTCCTATGTAGAATGTATAATATTATTAATATATAAAAATAATTTCCGCTTTTTACACAATAATAAATTTCTACACAGGTATTAAAACACACCCACACATTCACAAAAATAAATATCTTTAGTTCTTTTAAGATAATAGGTTGCATTTTGGTAGGATATCAGTATACAATAAAAATTATTAAATTAAAAGTAAAATATATATATATCTTTAATATAAATATTATTAAAAGTTATATTTGGAAATTGTGCGCGATTATTGTGTATCAATATGTTTATATATATACGTTGAAGTTTACTTTAACATAATAAATTGTTTATTTATTATTTATAGTAGACGTAAATTGTAAAAGAAGAAATTGTTATCATTTTTGTAAATAACTTTTTAAAAATACATTTTTTGAACTCTGGAATTGCAATCTGAGGAAAAAAACATTGTTATTATTATTTCATGATTAATAAACTGAATTGTTATAAATTTGATCATTCGTGGTGAAAAAAAAATTGTTTATATGATTATGTTTAAATATAATACTGATTAAGAGAAATAAATTTAGTTGTTTTATGTGTTAATTCATGAAAATATTGAAAAAAAATGCATGTGCAATTAAAAATAAATTTTTATATATTTTTTTTAATTTCTCTTATTCAAGCCTGAAAACTAAGGCCATTAGCTGTGGATATATGAGCATAAGCTTTTTTTTTTTTTTATATATATATAAGGTTTGTTTGTAAAATTTGGTTAGTACGGTTGGAGTACGTGTGTATAGTATTGTGCGTTATGGATTCATCGCTAAGAATTTGGGTGGTCAGTGGTCACCTATCCGAAATCTAGTGAAGCCGGCCGATGCTTGACCTCAGAACACATTAGTGACTGTGGGCAACCATTGTGCCACACTAGGACATATACATATTTATGTTCATATTAAACAGTGTAATTGAAAATATATTTAATATAAAATAAGTCACTTTTATTTGCAGAAAATATGTAAATGATTAAACAATATTAAACTACACACATTAATCAGTTTATGTTATAGTTATGAATTATTTTAATAATCACTCTTTTTAATTAGAGATTAATTGAATTTAGTTTAATTATAAAACAATTTTAAAGTTTACATAAACAAAATATTGAACTCGCTATTTTGAAAATAAAATCTCATACATCTACTCGTACATCGTATGAGCTATTATTTTAAATTCTTAAACTAATTTAATGCTACTTATCAAACTGCTGGATTGACAGAAGTTTCTGCAGGATCATTTTTGAAAAGCTATTTATTATTCTGATTAAATTTAATAAATTTAAAACATTTATCTTATTGACATTAATAATAAATTAAAAACTTATTACTACATTTGATGTTAAATTCATATTATGATTAAAAATTAATTCATCAAACTTTTATTATAATTCTAAATAATTTTGAATTTTAAATAATTTAAATACAAGAAAGTTCTTTTATATATTTTTATAATTTATGTATTATAAATACTTATATTATTTGTGAACATAATTCAAAATTTTAAATAAAAAATAAAAAACTATCATCAACAATTTATTTTGGTTTAATAATAATTTTAATACAATTTCGTCTTTAATTTTAATTTTATTAATTTCATGAATATTTTGTACTTGAATCAAAAACCAGGATATATTTAACACAATAATAAAGATAATAATTACTTGAATACTATGACATTAAGATTTAAAAACTTATCCATATCACATATACAATATTGACAATAGTTTTATTTGTTCATTAAAACAAATTTAAATAATTTAAAATATATTATTTTTCACTTATGACTGACTAAATTATATATAATTTAATAACATAATCTATTTATGTTGTTACAGCTAATATGTTTAGCAAGTAATTATTAACTATTGCTGTATTTTATCTTTTGTTTTAAATACTTTATCTAAAATAAATCTGATGATAAATGGAATTAATTATAGATTTCATAGAAGTATCACAAAATTATATAAGGTTTACACTTACGCGGTTTCTTCCATAACCGTGGACAGGATAAAATCTGTAGATTTGTCGTTATGTATGATGTGGCAGTCATCTGAGCCGGGTGATCCACCCTCTTCTTCGTCGTCCTGTTAACACAAAAAATCCATTAAAACACCCCGAAAGCATACACATTATTATGTGTATTATAATGATAGCAGAGGGCATTGCGTGACCCACTTAGTTGAGATTACTATATACCTACGTACTAATATAAAACATACATATTTTTATACATATATCGCTAAAATTAAATACAATCTATCGGTGAATTTTTTGAAATTATATTATAAATGTATTTTCATAATTTGTGTACTTAAGCTAAAGAAATTTAATTATATGTTTTTAATATCAGACAATATAATATAAAAATATCATATAAAGTAAATAACAGTTATTTTTGCGTAATAATGTTTATCTCAAATTTCTTCAAAAGAATAATGAAAGTGTTTCATTAAATATTTTCTTGTACATGAACATTTATTTTAGTTCCATTTTAAAAAGCAAATTTAAAAAAACAATGCAAAACATACATTGTAGGAGTGATAATTTAGCCATATTCAGTATTTTGTCAATTGCCACAAATAATTTTAATTTATTTTATATATTTCACATTTTTTTGGATACTATTTGCTAAAGAATGCATGAAGGTTCCTATAAAAAGTAATATCTTGTTGAAAAAATTTCACAATTAATTTTAATCTAAATAATTGCAATAACTACGTATATTCAACATTTTTATTGCACTAATGTTTATATAGTAACAAAATACTGAGTCATTGAAATCATTTCTGTGTCGTATATAACTCAAACAATCGATTTAACCTTATTTTATAAAAATCAGATTGATTATCTTATAACTGTCTTAATTAGTAAATAAAAATATTAATCTTTAAGATATATATATATATATATATGCATTTATATAATCTTAATTATTATAATATATTTAATCATATCAATTAATACATATATATATATACATTGTTTGAATTTATAGATTATCAAATAAAATTACATCAATTTATATTTCATAATTTTATTATTATTTTACGAAAAAAACATTTACATATTATAATGTATATATTATTATAATTTATGAAGTATTCGAAAAATTTTAAAATATTATTTATATATTAATTATCTTAGGAAAATACGTTTTACTGTGTGTATTTAAATTAATATAAAGTAATAAAAGTAATAGATGACAACTTTTTTGAGTTTTGTAACAGAAACTAATGCTTTCTGTGCATATTTATGTTTTAATAATAACAATAATAATAATAATAATAACAATAATTCCAAAAATGATAGTATTACAGAACATAGTTTAACACATTTATATACCTCGAGGAAATATAAAATATTTCTTAATATTTATTACTTTTAAACTCAAATAAATTATGGGGAAAGTATATAATTATCAAATGTATTTTGATTGTATATATTATTGCAGTACACAGGTTTTATACCATGAATTGAATTTAAATAATGGTTACCAAGTTATAATAAACTTTAAACTAAGATTTGAAACTAAGAATTGGGATAATATAGGCAATAAAATACAATTTATTTCGAGTTAACTAAATTTAATTTAATTTTATATGAGTAAAATATTTCAATATTAAAATTCATATGCATGTATACAATTAATTATTAATTTTATATTATTTAAATGTATGAAATTTAAATATTTATTTGAACATCAATTATTATTACTATTAATAAAATATATTGTAATACATTTCAAAATTCAAAATAACGTCTGTATTATTAAGTGATTAAAATTAACCATACATATTCATGAAATGTACATTTTTAATAATCAATTGATTTTTTTTTTTTTAGATTGTAATAGCCGTGTTACTTATATTTGTACTTGAGCAATGTACATAAATTATCTTTAAATATTTGAAATATATATTCATTATACACTTTACAGTCTTTAAAAAATCAATAACAGCAAGCATACATTCTATTTTTTAATATAATTAATTAAGATATTACAGTTTATCTTTAACGGAGAAATATAGGTAAGTAGTTGAATAGAACATAAAATTCCAAGGAATATGTGTTGTTATGTTGTACAGTGTACGTACACTAATTTGAGATTTAAACATAAAAATCCTATTTAGTTTATTGTAATATATACATATAAAAATTAACGATTATGTCAAAGGTGAAATTTCTGTTACTGAGTTGTTCATAAACTACAATTATATATTCGATTCATTTAAATTCTGATGTCCATATTTAAACTATACTTGTACGCATAAGTGGAACTACAGGGGAGGGATTGAGGATTATGCAACTGCTCCCCACTGCGAGTTCATTCTTGCTCGTGCTCCCTTATATATATTTACATTAACATATTTTATACATTTTATACATCTATAAATGTGTAGTTATTTTTGATACTCAGTGTTTCTCATAGTCCTTATACTTAAATACTAAATTTGATGGTTTGTCTTTGATTACGGTTTGTAACAAGCTTATAAGTGTTAGAATAACCATTCACTCCAAAATATAACAATTTTTTTTTTTTTTTTTTAGTTGATTATTATAAAATAATAATATACCTAATAATTAATATATTCCTTTCCGTGAAAAGTTTTTTGCATATTTTTTTTATGTATATTCTAAATCCAATTTTGAATTTAATATCATACGCAAACACAATTTTACCTTTGAATATTAATTAATTAATAGCTATTGACCTTTTTATGTCATTAAAAAATCTTTAGAATCTATCAGAAATGATGGAAAATATTTCAAAAATATTTACTAAAAACACCAAACAGCTTTGCGAAGAAAATTAAATTAGTAATTCTGCTTTCAAGTATTTGTACAAGATACTGTCGATTTAAAAATTGAAATTTATAATTTAAACATCAAAAAACTTATCATAAAATAACAAAGTAAATTTTGAAAAGTAGATGGACGGGTTAACCATTTCAGAAACCAGAAAAAAAATATATTAAAAGCTTTAAAAACCATTCGTGGTCATTTCTGTGACTAAATGCATGTAAAGGTTCGTTTTTGAAATAATTGAAACATAGTAAAATCTAAGTTTAAAAGTGTTATGTTGCAAGAACGTTTAGATAATCTTATGACTAAGTTAATAAAACAGAAACTAGCGTATAATTATGTAAACCTTGATGTAGTTCTTGAAATCTTCAAAATATTAAGGCCTGCTGAGCGACACATGGATCTTTAGAATTTGTAAAATACAATAAATAATAAAATTATTAACTTTTAAACTTTTAAAATTATTTGAAAAGTAGTACTAAAATATATTAGTTTTAGTTAAAAATAAAATATTATTTTTAATAATATTGCTAGTTTAGAAATTTGGACAAAATAGTGGTAATATTTTGTTTAAAATATTTTTTAGCTCTTTCTTTTTACCATAGGAATCTAGTAACATCAATGCTCAAACAATATCAGCTAATTTTATTAATCTAATTAAAAATTCTCCAAAGAAATGCGCCTACAACGTTTCAACTACAAAAAAAATTTCATATAATTAATCTGACACGAAATGTATACCTTGAATAACTATTATAACCATTGTATATTGATCTAAAAAAAATATGTCATGTATATTATTATTATTTTTTATTTTGATCTAAACTATAACTAACATATACATTTATATGTAAACACGTGTTTATCACCACACGACTACATGATCACTGTTGTTCTGTCTTAAAACATATTAGTTAATTATTTTGATTTGCATATTAAAATACCTGACTTCCGCTTCCTGTGTTGGTCGGCCCTTCATCAATAATAGATGAACTTCCGGGTGCTAATGAGGCTGTAGCCAGCAACGTAGTCTCGGCTAGACGTCTTCTGGTCTGTGCAACATTTTCGATGATTATACCTGGTTTCATGTCTCTGCTCAGCTGCGGTCTTCTTGCCGCCTTAGCTTTTCTCGCTCTGAGATTTAATGCCTATAATGAACACAGTGTATCAGATAATATTAATACATCATTATAACTGAAAGCCATTTATATCATAATAATATATGATATTGACTTATTAATAATGGAATAATATTCCATTCCTACATAAATATGATGTACACTATTTGATTTTTAAAAACATTTATAAAGTAAATTTATTCATGTCTACAGATACACATTTTATATACATATATTATCGATGTAATAAAATGAAAAGTTAATGTTGTTATTCAGTTTTTTTTCTAAATTTTCTTTTATACTAAAATTGTTAAGCTTGTGAAGCATATCATTCATTAAATTAACTATTGAATATTTTATAGAATAGGTTATTTTTGGGTAATTTTAAAGAGTTTTACTTGAAAATTACGGTGTTAATTTTGCTAAATAAATGGTTAAAACTATTAGCAAGCAACAATATGTAGTATTATATAATCAAAGTTACTGTTCAATATTTTAAAGTGACAGACAGTAATTAATAGAGTAGAGATAAATATGGTAGCAATAAATAATATTCAACAATTATTAGTGTTCGTAGAATCGAAAAATGATAAGCATTCTTGAAATAAATATATTTTATTCAGTTTTTATGACAGTCTATTTTACACACAATATAAATATAAACATATATATATATATATAAACACACATGTATTTATATATTTTTTTAAGTCTATATTAACTTGTAGAGTTCTTATACTTATAAGTTATAAAAAGAAAACAGAATTATGAAATGTCATAACATTAATGTTCGTGAATATATTAAAACTGAAATCTTAAAAAGTCTAAATTATTCATAACAATATAATCAAACTGTACTTAATTAATTAATATTAATGTTATTACAATAAGATTAAGTTATTAAGTTTGTACTAAAACTTTTTTTTTATTTTATAAGATAAATAATAAATAGTATAATACTGTTAATTAATTTAAAAATAATATTATGAATACTTAAATTGTATATTACTTAACAAGTATAAATGTCTTGTAATGAAGTTGTAGTGAAATATTCAAATATGCGAGTATAAAGGTACAATGTCCAAATGTATAACATAGACAAACATTAGTTAGAACAGACCTAAATATGCATTTGGTACAACTAATTATATCACATAAATTAAATAAAACTAATGACAATCGTCGAAAATTGTACGTAAATTTTAAAATGTAAAATAAACAACATAAATAATGTGTATTTTGGTAAAATTACATACCTATATTATGTTTTATGAAACCCATATTTCTATTCCAATTAATATTAATTATTATTGAATTATTAAACCAAATTGTGATCAATAAATTATCCGTATTATATTGAAATATGTTAGTTTTAGATTCACAATAAAGTAATAAATTATTTAATTTTACATTTTATGAATTTGTTTCTTTTAATGTATGAAATAATTTGTTTGGAAGTGCTCCAAAGTTATTATTCTGAAATATACAACGATTTTAAATTATTTGATGCTTATGGTACGCACAATGAGTTATTTTTTGAAATTATCATTAATTTTCTTAAAAACATGAAAAACTTCCATACATTTTCAGTAATACACACTTTTTAACCAATCTTTGATATATTTTTCAGTTATTGTAAAAATATTTTTAGGTATTTTATCTTATTGTTTATACATTTATTATTTGGCATTACATGTACAAATTTATTTAACGAATAACTTTTAAGTTTTGATAGATTTAGTTAAAAAAATCAGTTTTGGCAAAAATATTTCGTCTAATTTCTAGTTACTTGTATAGTTGTATACCTGGTATCTACCTCTCGCACATGAAATTCATTATGGAAATTAAAAAAAATATATATATTCATAGATCATTATTCTTTTCTTTAATAAATATTAAGGTTACATTAATTATATTAAACTCTTATAAATTACTGCATTAATCATAGATTAAAAGTATAATATACATACATTGTATTTCACAGTTTTGAAGTAGTAATTAATTATTTTTTAGAAAAATAAACTATTAAAGAAACAATATACGTTAAACTTATTTTTTTATTTATTATATATATATACTCGTATGTATTTTTTATCACTGATATAAAAACATAATTATTAATAAAATTATTATGTACAGTATATTAGTTTCGAGTACAAATTTCATTGCATATTTAATCGTATCTCAACTAAATATACAGACAGTAATAAATTTGTGTAAATACGTACAAGAAACTGTTGAAAAAATTACTCATAGCATCGCAAACCTCGTAGAGTGATATATTTTGTGGTGTAAATGAGATTATACTGAGTTAAGTATACGAATATGCACACAATAACATACACTGAGTGGTTATAGAGTTACCTACCCAAACACAGCAGATAAGGCGAGAGTGAATAGGTTAAAGTGGTTTGAGCGTGTTGTGAAGGAGAGAAGGAACATAAAGCGGTAAACAGAATTTGAGAAATGTACGTAGAAGGATTCGGAATAGGAAACGGCTTGGAGTAATTTAAAATGTCATGAGAATGTGCATGTAGGGTGAGAATACACAAGTGGGGTGAAGAGTAGTATTATGGTAGTTGACGATATAGAAGGGGATGGAATGGGATTGCATCGAGTAAGGCGATTGAGGACTGCGCGTTGGTCGACCGTGGATAGAGATAGGTTTTTTATATAATAATATATTTCCGGATATCGTTTGATGCTATTATTATAATAATGCGCTTTATTGAAGATAATAGCGGCAATTCGTAAGAATACACATTGAAATAATTTACAAATCACGTTATGGAAACTTTTTTTTTCTAGTAAGAAGATAATATAAAATTTTGTACGATTTAGTTACAATGCATATTATAATACATTTCATTTTTTTTTTTTTTTCATGGAGTTAAACGATGTGTTATTAATTGTGTTAAGAATAAGTAACCGGATTTATTTTATTTAACCAAGCTAATTTTATATGATTTATGATTTGTTTATTTTTAGTAAAAGTTGGTCTTAGAAATCTGTACTACCTATTTAATGCTATTTTTAGATAAATGACTTAAATTACATGAGTAAGTAAAATAACTATTTTGAAATATGAATAAAAATTAATTGGAAAATAACTGAAAGGTTTAAAAAACACATAATACAAGAATTATTTTTGATCAAATTCATTAAATTAATATTAATGAAGCTACCAATCATGATGTATCATATTATGTCCTTACCTAACCTACCTAATAACTAGAAATAATTTAAATTCAAAATATTTTAATTACAATGTATATGTCATAGTAAATTATGTTCTTAGATTAGGTATTGAATAAATTTTAAAATAAATTAGGTTTTGAATAACCTTATTATCTGCAAACTAGCATATAAATATATCTATTAATTTTTTGGTTTCACATTTTTTATTCTTGTAAGTCTTTATATTTAATATAAAAAATGTAATAAAATAAAAGTTATATAAGCTAAATTATTTAATCTTTAAAAAGTTTACATAGGTATAAAGGTATCTGTTTTTATGTTCAATTTTTAAGCAGAAATATATAGAAAACTATATTTAACACTTATATTCTATCTCATTGACAATTGTGTCTATATCTACATTATCTACATAATTATAATAGTATAATTGATTTAAGTAATTTCTTACACCTGATTGCTAAATAAACATGATTATAATTGTATTATATTGTTTATTTTTAATTTTTGAATTAATACTGAATTTATTAAAGAGCCATTTTATACTAGGAAAAATTAATAATTAAGTTACTAAAATTGTATAAATATTATTTAGGTTGCAATAAATATATCATTTTCATAATGTATGGAGTATACTAAGCTTATTAATTATTATAATTGGTATGTTCAGTTACTTCATTATTTATATACCAAAAAAAGAACATTAGGTACTGAATAATGGTTATTATTTATTAATCTAGAGTATCAGAATATACAATAACGTCAATTTCATTATACAGTTTATTAAGTCGATAATGATAAAATTACACAGTTATGAATATTTTTAGAATAAATACGCAACGGGAATTTTTATGCTACAATAATAAATTTTAAATATCAATAAAAAAAAACAATTATAATTTTATATGCAACAAAAATAACTAAAAGTAGCGTATTATCATTATTTTTTATACCGCATGTATAAAATAATTAAATACCATATGCTTAATACCTTGTATAATGCAATGTTACTCACGTCTCTCACTCTCTCTCTCTCTACGTATATATATATAAATGATAGATTGTTAAATGTAATTTTAAAAAAAAAAAACACGATTTCTGGATATCATATGAAAATGCATTAATTCAATAAGCATGGTAGTTTGGTATTTGGATATATTATATACGTATAATACATCTATAAACTATAAAATATTTATCAACTGAAAAACAAAATTTGTAAAGAAATCGTTAGTATAACTTTGAAAATTATTCACCGCACACCAATAATGTAAACATATTATATGTATTAGAAAAACGTTTATATACTTCATTTTAATATAATATCAATAATTAAAAAATTAATTTAATAATTCGATCGTCTTAATCGACTATTTTATTTCTAAATATATTATGTTAACATATAATTTTAATAAAATTTAACTACATTAATTGAACAATTTAACTGTTTTATAAAGAATTATAAAAGATTCAGTGACTTATTTATTTTGCATTTTAAATTTTTCTATTTATAACATTATTTTAGGTTTTAACAGTAAATTTCTATTAAACTACTTGAGATAAAAAAAAATTATAATACTATAGAATATAGATAGTTGTATTACGTATGATTAAATTATGATTAGATAGTATTACGTTTATTCGGTAGGTTATTGTAAAATATGCTTTTTACTTTGTAAATTGTATTTAATAACGAAAAATAAGTTTTTAGTAAAATTGTTGCGCAAACAAGCAGATAATTGCTTTAATAATAAATTAGCTATCAAAAGCCCTAATATTTGACTTACAAAACATAATATTCTATTATACAACTTATGAAATTGCGAAGTAACCAC